AGATACTGGAGCTGAGCTACAACTTGATGGTAAGGGTTCCAAGGATGGTGGGAAGAACTCCAGTTAAGAAGAAAAGCAAGTTAAAGATGGATGAGAAACTGAGCTAGGCTCTGGTTGTGGGCTTCCTCAAATGCTGTGCTGAGGAGCTCACACCTTCTAACAATGAGGATCCAGTGACAGTAAGTAGGAAAAATGAAATGATGAAAACAGTTTTAAGGAAGAGCATTTTGATAGCATGAGAAGGCATTTGATGGAAGATGAGAGGTAGGACCTCTGATCACTGAGAAGTGGTCCCAGAGGGAGGCCATGGGAGGAATGAGGGTATGGAGTAAGGGAAGAAGCTAAAAAACACTTAGAAGGAAAATAGAAGAGGCCAGGAAGTTTGATTGGGGTTCTGAAAGGTGGGCAGAGAGGAAGGAAGCAAAGGTGATTCTGGCATCTCCAGTGTGCAACTGGGCAATAACATCTGGTGGAAGCAGGCAGTTCAGGATATAAACAGAGCTCATTGGATACACAGATGCCATGTTCTGTCTGTAGATAGGTTGAGTTTTCAGAGCCAGCGGGATGAGCAGGTGGTGAGGACCCACAGGGGTAGAGCTCAGAAGGAAGGACCAGCAGAAGGATTAGAGAAGAGCCTACCTCTGAGAGGTGACAGCAGTGGTCCCAAAGCACATTAGGGTCTGCATAGGTGGCAGGTGAATGGGATGGCACAGAGCTCAAGTCTGACCCTAACAGGATTCTCACTACCTGGTCTGGAGCTTCCAGAACAGTTGCAACAATGCGTAAGCTGCCTTAACCTCCTCTGGCTTACTGGGCAGTATCTTCTGCCAGTTCTGAGGGCTCCTCTCTGCCCTGGCCCTCTGTAACGATGGCTTTTCTCCTTTTTTCTCCAAAAATGTCTTCTGAATGTTTCCTCTAGGCTGCATCGTGGGTGAGTGAGCACCCACACTGGAGAAAAATTCAAGAGTAGAGTGGCAGGAAGCCAGTGGATGACAATTTTCTTAAACCTAAACACACAGACATCTGTGCAGCTGAGCCATGAGGTTGTGTGCATCTCATTCACTTCTCAAAATAACCCTATGTATGTTCAGTTGGCAAAAATTTGAGCTATACCTTGTGATTTGTGCACTTTCTTATATTGTATTTCAATGAAAAATTAGAAAAAAAAAATCCCACAACTCTGAAGTAGGTAGCTCCATGTTATCAGGGAGAAACTGAGGCCTGGAAAGGTTAAGCAACTTGTCAAGGTTGGGGTTGGTAGCTGAGATTCAAAGCCAGGTCTATGGGTCTCAGAGATGGGTGCCCTTTCCTCTGTGACCACTCAGTGGACCCTTTTCCCTTCTGCTCCTTCACCGGGCGAAGATGGCCACAGACCACTTTGGGTCCTCAAACCCAGGTTTTGTGTCAAGCCTCCCCTTGAAATATATGCCTTCTAACTCTGTCCTATTTCTGTTCCAAATAAGTGGCCATTATCATAGCACCAGGACAGCCATGTGGCACATTTCTCAGTGAGGACCTAGATCCTGAGGGCTGGGACTGGAAGGGACAGTCCCCTTTCTCTGGGGCCTGGGCTCAAGCTTATTCTGTTTAGAGTCTTGATTCATACTAAGGGCTCCAGCATTGATCAGGGGCTGAGCCTGATCCCCATCAGCCCAATGGCCAAGCTGACAGTTGAATTTGGGGGATTTAGTTCAAATATGGGATTTAATTGGAACCTGTATGACAGCAGCTGCTGGGAAATAGTTGACTGATATGCAAAAGGCCATTTTGAGTTTCTCTTCTAGTATCTCAGTCTAGCAGGCTGTACTGCTTGTCTGGACATTGTGGTCTTGGATCTGCACAGATTGGTGGGAGGTATGTGACATGGAGCTGGCCTCTGGACTCTCCACTCGTCTCCATACAAGGCTCTAGCCTCTTAGACCAAGTTCCATCCAAGACTAATGCTTGATGAGGGAGGGCTAGAAAGCCAGATGACAGGAGGAAAATGGGGACCAGAGGACCTTTGCCTCGGTGAGGCTAGGATCAGAGCATGACAGCAGAGGTTTCTTGGGGAGGCTCAGGAAAGAGTAGGAGTCATGGGAGGGACCCTTGAACTCTATGGCTTCCTCCCAGTCTTGGCTGGCTTCCTGGAGAAGGTGGGTGGTGGTGAAGGGAGGCTCCCTATGGCTTGTCACAGTGGACAGGAAGGATGTCAAGCTGCCATGATGAACAGGGAAGTGGCACTCATCTCGCTCAAGTGGGTCCTGGAGGGATATTAATTGGGACGCATACTTGCCATTGTCCAAGGGTGTCATCTATCTTCCTTTGTCCAGCACAGTCTTCCCATGATCCTCAGCAGTAACAACACATTCTAATTGCCACCCCGCTATCCCCACCCGACACTCACATGTAAATGCCAAGTCTCTCCTTCCAGAGATGGAAGCCTGATCTCAATCTTCCTGTACCTTTCTGGCTCATGCTGTGGCCTCCCTCCAGTCCAGATGTTTCCACGTGGAGGATAATGTCCCCTTTTGATTCTTCTTCTCTCCAAGGTCAGACCTGGCACCTTTTCTGAAAACCTTGCCCTACTGACTTTGCAGGTACTGAGAGCATTTTGTCCTTTTGATTGCATCTCTGCCTCTTGGGCCAACTATATTTCTTAACTGAATTTCTGGCTGCTCTTATTTCTCTCTAGCCTCAGGCCAATCTGCTCCCAACCATCATCCTCTCCATGACATCGGTCTTGGATTTCAGACAGGGGCTTTATGGGGAATAAAGTCCCCTCCTCTCTGTCCCCCAGTCCCACATAAAGGTCTCATTTCTCACCTACCACCCAGCTCAACCCCATATCCCTAGAGAGAGGCAACCACCACTCACAGGGAAGCAGAGGAGCAGGGAGATTCTTGGAGGAAGACCCAAAGTGGTCTAATCTCTATAACCCCAGCTCTTGGCAGCCAGTTGGTGCATTTGTCCTTCAGGAAAAGAACATAGAGAAAAATGTACATGATGCTAACACTGAAGTTTGGGCTGAGGTATGAAGATACAATAAATAGGTCCTCCATTCCAAAAGCGGCCAGACCAAACCACACACCACATTTTCCAAGTAAATGGTTAAAAAGTGACTCTTGAGCCTCTCACTCATGACAAGGATCAGAATTTGGAGATGAAGGAGAGGGGGTTGGGGAGGACTTTTAACGTGCTAGAAGCTCTACTCCCAGAAGGCAAGGTTGACTTGACAAGATCAGTGACAAAAGGTTTTAAGACACAAAGAGATTGGCATGTCCCAGCATTTGGGGGATGTGATCACCAGAGAAATCTAGTGGCTGACTGGACATTCTACTTAAGATAGAAGGAAGGACAAGTGGCTGCATCGAGGATAGCCTGCACTCTAAGGGTATCTGGACCAAGGATGCTCAGAGCTGGAGCTGTTTTTTTCCATCCCTCTCCTTAACCCCCAAACTAGAAGAGTAAAGGGATTCCTACAGAGCAACCTTTGTTGAGTGCATGGGCAGAAAACCAGGGACAGATGATAAGGCAGAGAAAGTACAGAAGCTACCAAAGAGAACTTAAAGGGAAAACCGAAGGATCCATGAGTGTACCCAGGAGGAAAAGGTTTTGAAGATCTGGAGGCCCAGAGAACACATTGTATCTTAATGGCAGTGTAGTCAAGATTGTTTGGGCTGCTTTTCCCCTCCTCTGCCCCGAGAAGATCAGTAACAACAGCTAGCATGGGAGGGGAAGGAAAGACGTCATCCCCACCCCTTTCCACTTCATCTTCCACAGCTGCTGCTTCTGGATAAGCAGACAGCATCCCATCCTTGCTGGAGAGGGGAAAGTTCCTACCCCTGGATGAAGATCTAAGTGTTGATTATCACATGAATTAAACATTTCTATGTACTAACGTAAAATGGATGTAGAATCTATTACCTGAGAATGACCCAGATAAGTCATGGGATTGCTCAGAATTTCATCCAGAAATGAGAGAAAATTCTTCCACTGAATAAATTTTATAGGAAAGTGGAAGACAAATATAGTTGCATTCCAATTACATTTCAACAAATAATTCTTGTTTAAGTCCTGGAAACAGATACAAAGTCAGTCAGCAAATAGGACTGACAAAATCAGAGGATGCTATGACCAGATAAAGACCCTTACATTGTTTAATCTGACCCTCTCGTTTGACCATTGCCATGCCTGTAACAACGATGATGATGATGATGATGATGATGATGATGATGATGATGATGATAACAAACTCTCATTGGCTCGTATTTTGTCAATCTCTGTTCTAAGCCCCTAAGTCTTAGTTCTTTAATCTTTACAATAGTCCTATGCTTATTGAGCAAATGAATTAGCGGTGACCTAATGCTGGGCTTGCAGTAGGACTTAATGTTGGTAAAACAAATCTTTGCTTCATCTGATCTCCCAGACCCAAGGAAACTTAAAGGATGGGGATGGGGTGCAAAGACAAGCTATGTACTTAACTGTCTTTTCTACCACTGGGGATCATTCCATTCTCTATATTGTCAGGTACCCTTGATCAAGCTCAGCTTTCTCTCATTGTATTCCACCATCCACCCTATCTTCTCCAACCACTTAAATCTTTCTCACTCTTCTAAGCCTAGCTCTCCTTGCAGCTACCCTTCCCCAACTCAGTCTGAATACCGTACAGCTCTTAGCTAAGCAGATGCCTTCATTTACAGAGGGAGAAAGGGCCCAGCAAAGGAAAGAGATTTATTCAAGGTCAGGCAGCAGAATTAAGTTTCACTGGAAGGAGAATTCAGGGTCCTGATACTCATTCTAATGCAGCAACTTGATAGCATGTTAAGATGAGAAAGATTATGCCCCAACATGCTCACGCACAAAGGGAGAGTATGAGTGCTGCAGGCATCCAATTCCACAAAGTAGGAAAGTAGGAGAGAACTAGATTTTATTGGAAGACTAGAACACAAAAGTAGGTAGGAGTGTCAGTGCACTGGGATAAGGGGCTTAGGGGCTGGGGAGCAGGGACAAGGCCAGGGCTACATGAAGGTGAGGTGAGTAGAAACAGGGACACAACAGCTTTCCATGTGCTCCTCAAACAGCTGCTCCAGAACCTTCACATAGAGCATGTGGTAGTGGTCTACACTACCACATGTGGAGGCACTGAGGCACCAGGTTGGGGCAGCCCACTATAGTGAGAGGGGTGACAAGTGAGGTGAGAGGCCTCTGCTACAGGGCTGGTGGTAGCTTTCTTACCTGGAGATGGGAACTCACCCACAGTGGTGATGGGAACAGGGAAGGGCAGCAGGCCCCAGGAGTTGGCCAAGAATAGACCATGGTCCCAGAAGAGGCAAGGAGCAAAGCCTTTGAGTTTCTGGCAGGTGGTTTGGTACAGATGCTGCCAGGAGCCTTTGGCAAAAACCTTAAGTCTGAAGACATCATTCTCCCCAAAGGAGTACACAGGCACAATGGAGGCCCTAGGAAGGGGCAGCAACAGAGAAGAGAGTAGTCAGGCCAGTGGCTCTTGAAGTACCCCAAAATGGAAGACCCAGAGAGCAGCAAATCCCTCCCCACACCTCATGATTCTACTTCTCAAGGACTTTAAAGCAAACAATGATGGCTATAAAGAAAGATCTGGAAGAAAGAGTACTTACTGAGAAATGATTGTGTACTAGGCGTTCATATATACATTTCCTCACCCAGTCTTTACAACTATATCATCGCAAGGCAAGTATTAACTACTTCACAGGTTAAGAAACATGTCCAAGGTCTTGCCTTTGAGACAGTGTCAGAGAGGAATTTGAACTCCACACTTTGAACCAAAGGGTCCTGCTATTTGCATTATGAACTTGCCTCTCTTGGAGTGGGAGAAAACCTGGAAAGTTATCACAGTGCTTGGCACAGAGTAAGCAGTGCTCTCCAGGTATAGGGCACAGTGGGCTCTGGGAATACACAGTCCCATCTATAGGAACTTGGATGTGTAGAGATGGAGAGTGTACCCGCTCAGGCACACTGTGAAGTCTGACCATTAAGAGCAGCCCTGGAGTGGGCACCTGTACCCCACTCACCCATACCTCAGCGCCAGGTATACAAAGCCTTTGTGATTCTGGAGAATGAGATGATGTTCCCCTGTGATGGCATACAGGGACTCATGGGCACCCCCAACCACAATGACCACAACCTGCCCAAGCTGGGGCTGTGACAGAATAAAGTCCAAGCTCTGGTGGTTAATGGAACACTCGCCTGCAAGCATGAGGAGGTGAGGAGCAGTCATCACCCCCTCCTCGGCTCCATAACCTCTCACTCCACCCTTTAGTACCTGAAGGGTGAGCCCCACATCCCATTCCTTCTAAACCCCCCTACCCACCATGCCTATGTCTGTGTGCCCTATGGTGCTTGTCCCAGCAAAGACATTACAGAACACTTGCTCCAAAGCTATTCACTGATGTCCACTGGGAGCCTGGCTGGTATTCAGGCCAGGTCTCTGAGCTGGGAGTCACCTTGGCCAGAGGGCACCTCCTCCCTCTCAGCTAGAAACTCACCACAGGACATGATGTAGTCTCGATAGATTGGGATGTGGTAGAGTTTGGCCGACTGGAGTAGGCTGAAGAAGCCCAAGGAACTGCTGAGAGAAGCCATTGCTCTCGGTGGAAAAATTACAGAAGGTTCCAATGCACATGTTTCCATGTGTGTGAAAGTCAAACACATAGTTCCCGTCTGGGGGCAGCTCTACTGTTTTCACCAGTTTGGGGGTATTGGGCAGGATGGGGGGAAGAGGGCACGGAAGGCAGGACACCAGCTGAAAATTTGTTGCCCTCCACCCTAATAGACTTCATAATTCAAGGTCCTAGGATGGGGTCAAAGGTACAGGGGCCTACTCTTGAACACTTGCCCCATTGCCTGAGCTTAGGCTGCCAGAGCTCAGGCTCCAACACAGGAAGGGGTGAATAGGTAGGGGAGGTGGGGGAGTAGGAGGGGGCTGAGAATCTTTGGGTAACCTGTTACCTTGATAGGATGATAATCCGTTAGGTGTTTCTAAATGGTCCAGTTCCTAATCCACTCACACCGCCTTCCACCTTAGGGCAGAGATATATAAGTGGAAGCCCTGGAGGCACCCAGCTGCCATCTCTCACTACCTGGGCCCCTGTCCACTGCTACCTCGGTTGGGTATATCCCAATCCAGGAAGGGCCACGTCAGGTAGAGAACAGAATGACCAAAGAGGCATGAAGAGGAGGGATAAGACAAGAAGGGATAAGAAAGGGCCTGGGTGAAAGTTGAGGAAAAAAAATGAATTAGCTTTTGAAATTCCAGGCATTCCATCCATGGTTCCTCTCCTCCACCTGAGGATCATATCCTCCCGCCAGCTCCCAGCCCCACATCCAGTCCTTTCCCCTTCCCTTTGCACTTGGGCATCCAGGCAAGTGGAGCTGCAGCCTTTCTCCCCAAAGTCTCTCCTCCCCTTTCAGATCCCAGGCACCCATGCCTCTCTCACTCCTCCCACCTGTGAAGAGGAAAGTGAGCATGTATTGGTAAGCGCCCAAGGCTGCTAGCCACTGCTTCTGCAGGGTTTTCATGGCTCAGGAGAGCAACAGGAACGTGGAGATTCCTATCCCAGCAGTATCCCTCCACCAGCAGGGCTCCAGGACCCAGAAGACAAATGAGGAAGTTTTCAGTAGCTATCTAGAAGGCTTCCTAGCCCAAGGGACCAAGCCTTTGGGACCTCCCAGGATTGGGATCGCGAGGGGCTGAGGGGTGTGGACGGGGAGATCTCCGGATCCTGACTTCTCCAGGCTGTTCTCAGACTGCTCTTTAAACTTCCTGAGTCAGTGGGTCTGAACTGGTTGTGGGACCCATCTGGCAGGGGCGGAGGGCATGTGCCAAGGAGGTGTGGAAATTGATGAACAGAGGCTGGAGAGCCCGCTCTCTGAGCCCCAGCCTCTGGCGGGGTCCAGAAGCCCAAATGACACTGTCTGATCTCAAGTAAGACCCAGCAGGCCCATGATGCGTGCCGGAATCTGTTTGCAGGTCTCCGGGAGTGTCAAGGCTAGAGGCGGGATGGGAAGGGAGTGGTGCTGTGGGGCAGGTAGACCCTCC